TTAGAATTGAATAATGGTTTTGTACTTAGACTTAAAGAAGTACTTTATGTTCCCTCTTTGCGTAGAAATTTGATAAGTGTTTCGAAACTTGATGATGATGGAATTGATTGCCATTTTGGTGATGGCAAGTGTAAGATACTGGTTAATAATAAATGTGTTGGTCTTGCCTTCCGACAAGACAAGCTTTATTTATTATCTCTTGCTGAGAATGCGAACAATGTATGTGATGAGAATGTGAATGATTCCCCATCTACGGATGTAACTAAGAAGCGAAAGAGAATTGATATTGTCTCTTCGAAATTATGACATTGTCGCTTGGGCCATATTTCGAGGGGGAGAATGGAACAATTGGTTAAGGAATCAATTCTCCCGCACTTAGAATTTTCAGATTTAGAGCAATGTATTGATTGCATCAAAGGAAAGTATGTCAAGAAAATTAAGAAAGATGCCAAACGAAGCATAGGAATTTTAGAAATAATCCACACAGATATATGTGGTCCTTTTCCTGTGAAAAGTGTGGATGGTTATGACTCGTTTATAACATTCACAGACGACTACTCTCGTTATGGCAATATTTATCCAATTAAAGAAAGATCGGAAACATTGGATAAATTCAAAATATTTAAAGTTGAAGTTGAAAATCAGCACAATAAGAAAATCAAGATAGTACGATCAGACCGAGGTGGAGAGTACTATGGGCGACATACCCCATATGGCCAAATTCCTGGACCATTCGCAAGGTTCCTAGAGAAAAATGGCATAGTTGCTTAGTACTCCACACCGGGGGAGCCTCAGCAGAATGGAGTGGCTGAAAGACGTAACCGTACCTTAATGGATATGGTAAGAAGCATGATGAATTACTCCACATTACCGATTAGTTTATGGATGGAGGCACTGAAAACCGCCATTCACATACTTAATCGAGTACCAAGTAAATTGGTGCCTAAAACACCGTATGAATTATGGACAGGAATGAAACCCTCACTTAACCATTTGCGTGTGTGGGGCTGTCCAGCTGAGGCAAAAGTGTTTAACCCAAACATAGGAAAGTTAGACTCCAAGACAGTCAGCTGCCATTTTATTGGCTATCTAGAAAGATTGAAGGGATATCGCTTCTATTGTCCTGACAGACATACGAAGATTGTAGAAACAAGACACGCTGTGTTCTTGGAGGACAACATGATCAGGGGAAGCATGGTAGCATGAGAAATCAGCCTACAGGAGAAGCGGGTACATGTACCCACTCCGATGGTTGAAGAACCATTCTTCACGCTACCTGCTGCTGTTGCACCGACAGTGCAGGACACTGTAGTGCCAACACCTGTTGCAAGTTCTCCCGTGGCGACAATGAATGAACATGATGAACCTATCCTTGAGGAACCCATCCTTGAGGAAACTATAGAACCAAATGTTGCACATGAGGAAAAACAACAACAGCCCAATGTGGAACAAGTGCCGGAGGCACCTAGAAGGTCTCAAAGAATAAGACGATCAGCTATTACTGATGGCTATGAAGTTTATGAAACAGAAGAATGTCAGATGGGGGATGATTCCACCTCATTTGAAGAAGCCATGAGAAGCGACCACTCATCAAAGTGGCTTAAGGCCATGGAAGATGAATTGAAATCAATGAGTACCAATAAAGTTTGGGACCTAGAAAATATTCCTAAAGGAGCCAAAACAGTAGGCTGTAAATGGGTCTACAAAACGAAATATGACTCCCAAGGGAATATAGAAAGATTTAAAGCGTGACTTGTGGCGAAAGGCTTCACGCAAAGAGAAAGGATTGATTACAATGTGACGTTTTCTCCAGTCTCATGTAAAGATTCCTTCAGAATTATAATGGCACTTGTAGCCCACTATGATTTGGAGTTACATCAAATGGATGTAAAGACAGCTTTCCTAAACGGGGATTTGGAAGAAAATGTTTATATGGCACAAACGAAAGGTTTTTGTCGTAAAAGGAAAGGAAAATATGGGATGTCGCTTTGAAGAAATCAATCTGGATTGAAGCAAGCTTCAAAGGCAGTGGTATTTGAAGTTTGATAGAACGATAAAAGGTTTTGGGTTTGAAGAAAATGTTGACAATTGCGTTTATGCAAAGTTCGGGAATGGAAAGTACATATTCCTAATTTTGTATGTGGATGATATCTTGCTTGCTAGTAGTGATATCAATCGCTAATGGAAACGAAGAAATTCTTGTCCTCAAACTTTGATATGAAAAATCTCGGTGAGGCCTCGCGTTTGTTTTGGGAATAGAGATTCACCGAGAGCGGAGAGAAAAGGGTTCTAGGATTATCATAAAAGGCATACATAGAAAAGGTCTGAAGAAATTTAGTATGCATGCGTGCGATCCTTCACTGCTCCTATAGTCAAGGGCGATAGATTTGGAGGACATCAATGTCCCAAGAACCAATATGAAATTGACCGAATGAAAGCGGTACCGTATGATTCAATTGTTGGAAGTTTACAATATGCTCAAGTGTGTACACGCATACGACTTAGCTTTTTTGTTACGGGTTACTTGGCGGATATCAAAAGAATCCGAGAAATTGAACATTGGAAATTAGTGAAGAAAGTCCTGCGTTATTTTGCGTGGTACGAAAGGCCTCATGCTTACATATAGAAGATCGATTCCCCAGAGAGATAGAGGGGTATTCAGATTTCGATTATGCGGGAGATGAAAGAAAATCCACGTCGGGATATGTATTTACTCTCGCAGGAGGGGCTATATCGTGGAAAAGCTCCAAACAAACCGTAACTACATCCTCGACAATATATGCCGAGTTTGTAGCATGCTATGAGGCAACGAGGCAGGTGAATTGGCTGAAGAAATTCATACCCAGATTGAAAGTGATTGATAATATAAAAGAACCACTGAGGTTGTATTGTGATAACAACCCACGGTATAATATGCTCACAACAATAGGTCAAGTGGTCTTTGCCAAACACATTGACATAAAGTACTATGTTGTGAAAGATAAAGTTTGGGATCATATAATAAATCTTGAGCATATAAATACAGAGAGAAAATGCTCATGGATCCGCTCACAAAGGGCTTAACACCCAACGTGTTCAGAGAACACGAAAGCGGCATGGGTTTAAGGGAAAGCCTATGATTCCCGAACATACGAAAGGCCCAAAAAAAGTTTACATTTCAAAAGCAGAGAAGTGTATTGTGGTCATTAGTCTAATGACACTAATTATCGTGACGATGGGATGATTCTATGCACTAATCTGTGATGAAATAGGATGGAAGCAAGAAAAATATGAATTGAAAGTTTTGAGTATGAAATTAAAGAACGAAGAATAGATGAGAGATCAAGGGGAGAATGTTAGGATTGATCTCCCACCAGTTAGGCCCAACGGCCTAACTGGTCCTTGTCCTCGCGCCCTGATCGGGGGCGCCCAACCCTACATGGTTGGTGGGCCCCCGTCGCACAACGCTATAAAGGAAAGGTGGGGGCCGGGGCTCGCAGTACGAGGTTCACCGCGCCGCCAGTCACCCCACCGACATCCAAACCCTAGACCCGATCGAAAGTAGGGGCGCTGCCAATGACAGGAAGTACCACCGACGCCTTAACGCCACCCGACGCTCACACGCCGCCGAGGGACGCTTGACGCCACTCCCTCTCCACCGAGTAATCGTCTGCCGGCGCGCAGATGGTGTCCGTCAACGAAACCCCGGCCGGAGCTTCAACAACTACGGCATTCGATGGTTTGCAACCTATCACCCCCCCTCTCTCTCTCTGTGAAACCCGAACATCTACTATTACTACCAAGACCTCCCGATCCTATGAATATACCTAAACCGAAACCTTACATGGATCTCTCTCTCCCTTCCTTTTCTCTCAGTCAATAGGAAGCGCTCTTCCTCTCTCCGTCCCTTTCTCTTCTCTCATCCACGTCTCTAATTCTAGATGGAGATCTCGCTTTGCTCCCCCCGCTCTCTCTTCTAATTTCTTCCTCTCACCCATGTGTCTAATTCTAGAGAGAGGTCTCCCTTTGCTCCCTCTCTCTCTCTCTTCTCTGATCCTCTTGCACACGTCTCTAATTTTAGAGGGAGGTCTCATTTGCTTTCCCTCTCTTCTCTTTTATATATAATATATAATAATATAATATGTCTTAGGGTTCTTTTACATTTATACTAGAATCATATTTTATTTATTAATTTATGGTATTGTTCTTTTGTTAAAAAAACTCGATCTGCGGTGGCTAGACAGCCCCCGGTATTCCTGCTTAAGAAGAAGATCTTCTCACAAACCCCGGAACCTCTGCTCTACCCTTACACAGCGGCACCGCAGCTCCGTGAGATAAGCTGACCACAAACCTGTGATTTGGATGTGGGGCAGACGAGGGATTTTCTTTCTCCCTCCGGTCACTGCGGCTGATGCCACAAAGCGTGAGTCCCTCAGGACTCGAACTCTGACCACTCCGGAGGGGTGGTACCGAGCCTGCACGGGTTCTTTTGTTAAAGAATTTTCTTAATAAAAATCCTTGACAAGAACCATCACATGGAAAATCGAGAGAGATCTCCCATCATAATTATCAGCGGACATACCGGTCCTAAAAAATCATGGAACTTGATATTTAACTGTAGCAACATATGAATATGATGAAAATTAAAGTTATTATATATATTTACGAGTAAAGGGCATGTAGTCTACTTGTTACAAGAGCTCGAGTTGTACTTTGTAATCGCAAAAAATATTCTTAACATAATTTTTTTTTGTCCAACTGTAATGCACGGACATGTTTGGTAGTAGTATATATATACAGTGGTACATACTTGTTACATATTGTAGACAAACCAAATACAAACCGTGTGGTACTGGATCAGCAAGTAGTACGACTTTATTATTGTTATATTATACATAATATTCACGTAAAAGGTGAAGGGAAAATTAAGGCAGAGGGAATGCAACAGCGATAGTACGTAGGGGCACACCGGCCCGGAAGCAGCACGGCACGGCACGAGCGGCGGCCGAGATCGAGTAGTCTTAGACCTTGTCGCACTGAGCAGGGACGAAAGAGATCGTGTTGCCGGCGAGGTCGTAGAGTACGTGCAGGTTCTGCTGCTGATAGTTGCCTATTATCGTCATGTTGTTCCCGCCGGACGACTGTAGTATCACAATGCACGTGTTGTTGTCCTGAGGAAACACGTAGTTGCCCTGCGGCAGGTCCAGCGTCGCGCCCTCGAACTGCAGCTGCAGCTTCGGCATCGTCGTCGTCGACGCCGGGAAGCAGAGAAGATCAGGTTGGGCCGTGACGGCCACGGGCGTCATGTTCAGCTCGGAGACGAAGGCGTCGCTTAGGAGGCTGAAAACGTGCGGCGGCAGCAACGTGATGGAGGTGCCGGAGTCGATGATCGTCCCGCCGGTCCCGTCGGCGTTCAACGCGAACGCGGACTCCGGCACCTGCAGCGTCGTTGACCCCACCGTGATGCTCTTCAGATTCAGATAATAGTAGAAAGTTGAGGTCGTGTTGAGCGGGGTAGTCTGCACGGCGGCTCCACTACTTGCGCCGCCGGAGAGGTTCGCCGGCAGGCCGAGCAGCACGGGGCTGGACGTCGACGTGTTGTTGGTGAAGCAGTAGGAGAAGTTGTCGACTTTGAGCTGCGACGGAAGGGACAGGTTGCCGCGGCCGAAGCCGGCGATGCCAGTCATGATGGGCGTGAATGATCTGCCGCTGTTGTTGAGGCCGCAGCCGAAGGACAGGTTCGGCACGGCCGTCTGCCCTTGGGCGCCCTGGAACACGAACGTGTCTGCCACCAGTTTGCCGCTAGTCGTGGAGTTGTCGCCGTAGGAGTAGCTATTGTAGGCGCAAGTCTGGTTGACACACGACGACCACGGCAGCAGGTCCTGACACGCCGACGAGTCGCAAGTGAGGTTGACGAACGTGGAGGACAGGGACGGGTCGAAGTAAGGCAGAGCCTGGGGGAAGCAGGACGAGGCGGCTGCGGCGGAGCTGCAAGGCAGGCACTGCGTCCATGTGAGGTCGCTGCCGGTGTCTAGTACAAGCTGCACCGGCTGCGACGACGGCGTGCCGATACCCAAGTGCACCAGGTACTCCTTGGTGGAGGGGTACCCTGGTGTCACCGGGGCGCTCGCTGATGAGCCGGAGAGGAACCGCGCGGCGCGGGTCTTGCTGCGCAGCGCCATGCGTTGCAGCAGCTCGCCTGGGGTCAGGCCGCGGCCGGCGTCGGCGTGGCTCAGCTGCATCCTAATAACCGTGCCGCCGCCGGCGCCGCTCGTGGATGAAACAGCAGCCAGCGCCGCCAGCAGCACGAGTAGGACGGCGGCGGCTGCCCTCTCTCTCTGCATGTCGATCATCACTTGCACTCGAGTATGTAGTAACTAGCAGTATAATGCGCGCGTACTGTCTGCGTCTTAACCACTTAGTTAACCCTACCTATCAGCTAGCCCCCGGCCCTATTATTATATATAATACGTCGATCGACGTTCATGCATGTTCTTCATTCACCAATATAATTAAGCACTGGTTTACAAATCAACTGGTATTCTAGATCGCTCCGTATTCCTAAGTGACCGTGACCGTGAGCAGCACGAGTAACATATCTCTAGCTAACCACGCGGTTAGCTAGGAATAAGTCCGTATTCGTATTCTAGAAGTTGTACCTACACCGATCGAAAAGTAAGTAAGGTCCAGGTCGTCTCTGGACCGAGCAGTAACCGACTAACCGATCTCTCCAATTCACATGCATGACGTACGAGCACGTGTAGACACGTGGCAGCGGTTAGGAACCTTTTTTTCCGTCAGTAGATGTAAGTAGAAGAACACGGAGAAACAAAGTAGAAGAACTATTGTTCATTTTACCAGAAATTGATAGTTACATACCGTGAGGCAATCATGGTTATTAGCTACCATCAGACTATGACTCGGAGAATTGATAGTTACATTGTAGAGCTCTCAGGTATATATATACTCTGGATCGGACAAGGTTTACGAGTTTGATAAGAGTCTGTAATATCCTAGATGTTAAAAAGCAATCAAAACCTTGATTATGATCATCATCATGCATAAGCATTGTGGCATAAATGCATTTCATGTTTCAATTATAGTATTTTTATGTTGCATGTATGGTGTTTTACATGTTTCATGAAATGATATCAATAATAGTGTTTAATGTTCTTTGTGATTTATATATGTGAATTTGGCTAAACAATTAAAATTTTGCTAAAATAAACTTTATAGTTTAAAGTGTGCTCTTTAATATAGAACAAAAGTCTGTTTGAGTTTCTAAGTTAAAAATGTTTAATTTGGAGCCCAAAGATTGGATTTGGGGCTGATTTTCAAACTTAGTCATTCTTGCCTAAGTCCCTGAATTTCAGTGTTAAGTTCAATCTTTGGTGATTTAATGAGTCAATTTTCATAAATAAAACTTGTGTAACTTTTGTTCCATGGCTTGGTGTGATACTTGCTCTTTGTTACTGTGTAATTTGTTGTTAAGTTTGATAGATGTTAACATTTAATTAATTGCTGAATGATGCTAACCGAAACAGTTTCAAAACCCTAATTGAAAGATCAGTTGGTGGAGAGGGAGAACAAAGATAGCTGGGGATGGTTCTTGCAGCTTGTTCGGATACATGTCATTGGCCCTCATAGGGAGGTTGGTGTCATATCTGATAGACACTAGGGCATACTCAGTGCCGTATAGGAGCAGATTCCGAGGTATGCACCTTTGAACCACCGTTGGTGCACTCGGCACCTCGCTGAGAATTTACTTCAGAAGGATGGTACAAAGGACAACTTTCCTCTATTCGAGGAGGTTGCTCGCATGCTTGAGGTGCCATTCTTCGAGGAGAAGTTGGAGCAGCTAAAAACGGCAACAAACACAGAAGTTATGCAGTGGCTGAGAGGATTGATGAGAGAACCTGAGAAATGGACAAGAGCCTACAACGATGGTGGATGGAGGTACAAGTTTCAGACTAGCAACATGGCAGAGTCATTTAATAGTGTGCTCAAGGGTATACGTGCCATGTCCGTCAATGCCATTGTATCATTCACCTTTTATAGGCTAGTTGCATGGTTTAACGAGAGACACGCTCAAGCAATGGCACTACAGAGTAATAATCAGAAATGGGCACCTAAACCTAAGAAGCATCTTGACAAGGCAAAGGAAAGGGCTGCCACACATGACGTCGATTGCTTTGACCACAACACTAGCAAGTACCACGTCACAGAAAGGGGTGGTACAACGTCCGATGGTGAGGTCGGCCATCAAGGAGTTATATTGTGGTACTTAGTAATTTCTCATGCAGATGTGGGAAAAACCAAGCAGTACCACTTTCCTTGTTCTCATTATGTTGCAACATCTCAAAGATCGCAACTTTGCCCACGAGACCGAGTGATACCGTGGGAGTTCGGTGTTGTGACCTTTGCAGACTTGGTCTCCCGTTTGAGCCTTTCCTAGGCGAGGGTCGGTGGGCACCTTACACGGGCTGAAATACATTGCGGATCCGGTACACATTGGGACAAACGTGGAATCCGAAGAGGATGAGGCACAAGATGATCATGGACTAGGTTTACGGTAGAACGAGGTGAGGAGAGCAACCTCTTTCTTCATCGACCACGAGTAGAACCAATGTGGCAAATGTGGTAGACTTGGACATAATTCGTTACACATGCCTTCGACTGAGCTTCACGAGTTGCGGGGAATGAGACGACGCCGTCCGCCTTGTAAGCACACTTCAAGCACCGAAGCTCTTGGCCATAAGGGTAAGGGTAAGACTAGGAGGCAGTGACGATGACTTGTAGGTTAAGACTATGCTACCAACTTTGATTCGATGCCACAACTATTTGGGCTGCATGGACTTTGCTTATTTTGCATGTGTGGAGATTTGGATAATATGTAGTTACTTTCCTATAACTATTTGGGACTGTATGGACATTGTGGACTATTTGGACTATGCATGACATGTTATGTTGATTGTGATATTCGATGTGGTTGTATTGTGCTATTTGGATGATTAAATGTTTGGATTATATAATGATGTCTCTGTTTGTAACTATGGATGCTCCTGAAACAAGGGAAACTCTTGCGAATTTTTTCTGTGAATCATTAATTATACTACACTGCTAAAAAGGCACAAATGTAGTACACAGATTAAATATAAATTCATTAGAATGTGTATAGTTCAATCGTATCGTACAGATGATTTGCAGATGAATCTAGACTTTTCAGTAATAGTGAACGAATCTAGGCTTTTCAGACAATGAAAATAGACTTTTCAGTTACAAGGACGAGGAGTACGATGACAGCAGCGATTTATCACTTCACTTACATAGTACACCTATAGCATCTAGGCTTTTTAGTGATTTATCATGTCAACGATGAATAGAGTTTTTAGGAAACGAATCTAAGCTTTTCAGTGTCCATTGAAATAGGCTTTTCAGTGAAACTAATTAGGCTTCTTGGGACCAGTTATAACACATTGAAACGGCAACTAAACCTGCCTCCACCTATATATACGCAATATTGGATGCATTGCTACTTACTTCCCAACTAGTATTTTCCTTTCGTTGCAGTACCAATGTCTGGAGGGTCGTCTAGAGGGAGAGGTGAAAGGACCTAGGATGCCGCCTAGAGGGGAGGTGAATAGGCGTTTCTAAAAAATCAACACCTTTAAAAATGGAAATGATTAGTAATAGGAGTTTCCAAAATGGAAACTCTAAATCAGAGTAATACCACCCCTCACAAGTTATCCACAAAGTATATAAAAGATACTAGATAAACCTAGGGAGCCAAACAGCTGCAACCAAGGAGTTGAATCAAAATGCACTAGTCAGTTAATGTCGGAAGTCTCGACGTTTGGGTCAGAACTTCCGACGTGTCAGAAGTCCCGACGTTTGGGTCAGAACTTCTGACGCAAACGGGAAATGAATTACAAGTGCTAAAATGAACTTTGTGATGCCGATAACTTACAAACCCACTTCCTAGTGGTAAGGTAAGGTGTTGGGTCACTCTCTTGACATTGATAAGCCACCACTCCGTAGATCGAGTCCCAAACCCTAAGAAATAGCTAGAGAGAGGAGACAACCAAATACAAGTAATTTTGAGCAAATCACAACAACAACAAGCACACGGGAGACAAGAATTTATCCCAAGGTTCTAAGACCTCACAAATGGGCTCCCTCGTCCTCGTTGTTGAGGTGACCACTTTGGTCGGAGTCTCTTCCACCTCCTTGCCTCACTCAAGGATACCACAAAGGTCACTTGAGTTTCTTCACTAGAAATCAAGGGTAATACAAACTTTCCAAGGCTTTTCCACAAGATGGAAGCTCTTGGGCGACGCCTAGCCGGCTAAGGGAAAATCCCCAAGAGTAACAAATGCAAATCAAACCGGCTTGATGAAGAAATCAAGTGCTCAAGCTTGCTCAAAGTGATTTTCTCTCTCAATCCACTCTCCAAACACTCAAACCCTTTAGGAATTGAAGTTGGAAGCAAAGGAGTGAAGAGTGGTGAGCCTAGAATGCTTGGGGGCTGTTTTGGCCGAGTGTTCGTCGCAATGAAATGAGTGGGCAACGGTTAGAAGGAAGGAGAGGGGTATATATACTCCAAGGCAAAATCTAACCGTTCAGATCTACGTTGGAAGTTCCGACGCAGATCTCGGGACTTCCGATGTAAGAAGAAAACACTGTTCACGCGAGGTCAAAGTCCACACGAGACAACCAACGTCGGAACTTCCGACATGGGTCGGGACTTTCGACAGTCGGAACTTCCGATGAACGTCGGGACTTCCGACGGGCACAGACAGTAGGTCAGTAGAACCATCGATGCCGGGACTCCCGGCTTGGGTCGAGACTTCCAACTGTTGGGAGTTTCGACTCACGTCGGGACTTTCGACGTCCTGATCACCGCCTGAGACAAAGCTATGGTGGAGTCGCCGAGCTCATCAAGAGTCATGACTTCCGATCGTCGGGAGTTAAAACTACGTCGGGACTTCCGACATCGACAGTCACAAAATTATTCTATGTGCTCGTGAAGTGCTAGAGTGTCTCTCTTTTGATTTAATTATTATGCTTGAGCACTCTATCTTCCTCAGACCACTTAAACTTGCATCCCTCTTAATAGTACGGCATACCTATTAACTCAAGATCAAAAGAAAAATGAAATTAAACCTTTTGAGTTGATCTTTTTTAAATTGATGCCGTGTCTTTCAATCTTCATCAAGTGAGGGTGCCAATATGTCAATATTGATCTTGTCACTTGAGCATAGCCATCTTGAGCATGTGACTTGATTCCATTAATCAAATATGAATAACTCCAAATGCATCAAGTCACTTTAATCAACTTTTCCAA